GGAGACTTTTCTATTTCCTGGATACGTAATCAGGTGCACCGGAGGAGAGGGAGCAAGAGGCCTGAAAATGATAAATGTGAAAAGTGGCTCAGTAACTTTACGTAGAAAAACACGTACCCTATACATAAAAACGTTCAATTACAGATTTTGACCTTTTTAATGTAACAATTTCAATATTTGATAAATTTGATGATTCGGTTTGGATGATTGTGAACGGAATGATGTTAAGATATGTGTGTGTGTGTGTGTGTGTGTGTGTGTGTTCGTCCGCAGATGTGATGGCAGGACCTTGCAATAAACACAGGGTGAACACGCCCATTCCTTCTTTCGCGGGACTCGAACCCTAGGGCTTCGTCTCTGGGTAATTAGACGGGTTCCAGCCTCCTAGACCCAAAGGCAGGCAAACCAAGTTACGAAAGAAGGTAAACGACTACCCAACAATTGAGACACGTAACCAAACAAGAAAGCAACCCCACATCTTCAATAATCCACTTCAGTAAGGGAAGGATTCCGTTCTCCATTTGCGAGCACAAACTTTTCTGCTTATACCGTGCAGACAGAGCGGAAAAACGGCAGACAATGAGCCTCACGATCACTCTCAGCTACGAAAAGAGCATCGCGAAGTTTGCGAAACACCTGCACGAGTCGCGCAGAGAGCGGGTTCGGGTCGACGGGCGCCATAACGCGGCGCGACTCGCGAGTCAGCTAATTTAGCACAGCATTATCTCCTTCCTCCGCATCGTCCTTCGCCGCCAGCGCCACCGTGGCTGCATGCGTGCAAGACAGGGCCTCGACGGACATTTACGATCCACATCAAAGGATCTCTGTCCTTCCTCCCTCTTTTGCCAGTGTATTTTGCTGTCCGCCGCGTGAAACTACCGAATTATTTACTGACGTTTTCCAAGTAGCACTTTGAGATCGCGCAAGGCCGGAGCGGAGATCGCGAAATGTGCTTCGTCCGAGTACGAAGTCACTGAGTAAGCTGAGATCGTACCAGCAAAAATCTGTAGATTAAATGCATACGACTCAAAAATACACGTCAATGTACTTTTTTAAGATGGGTTTAAAAACATCTGCTTTCGCTAAAACTAACAAAAATAAATTCAGTAAATATTTGTACCCATGTATAGGTCTTTGTGGGTCGAAAGTATTTTCGTAATGGCTTGAAACATAATATCGGGGAACAACGGAATAAATAAAAAAAGTGAGCGTCATCTACAAGAGAAGAAATTTAATTTCGTTTGCAGGATAATTTTTAATTTTATTCGCGATTTAGGAAAAAGCGAAGACAAAGAATGGAATCTAACATTTTTTCGAAGACCGAAGTTGCGAGGACCCTTCACAGAAACCGAAGGACGTGTACAGGTCCTTGCTACGTCAGCGACGGAAGGAACAAACTCGCGGAACGAAGTGCGAGGGCAGACAAACGCCGCACGCGATGGCCAGAAGAAGGAAACTGCGATCGTGAGCGGATGCGGGTCCACGGCGGATGGAGACACTCGGAAGTCTTGGGCCGAGAACGGATACCGAAAGCAGCAAAAAAAATAAGGAAAAAGGCGCAACGATAGGGTGAACAATCAGGCAATCCACTGGATGAAAATCCTCGAAACATACGGAAAACCAAATACATTCACTAATATACAATTTTGAAATAGAAGTGTGGATGTATATGGTAATAGGCATAGGTGAGAGGAAAAGGAAGTAGTGTTGAACACGTTCAGATTGACAGATTGATTATTTTGTGTTTGCGGGCGCATGGTCAGTAGTGCACCACTGGATGACGAGACCTGGCGCCGAATTGCACGACGACTTGCAGAGTATACCCAATCCAGGTATCTCCAACCAGAAGGGCACTGCCCTAACCAGGATAAGCACTAAGCTCTCGACCAGTGTGTGTGTTTGTGTGAAAGTAAGGGTAAAGGAAAGGACAAAGAAGACAATGTAAAGATCGCGCGCGGTCAGTGGCTCGTTTGTTTCTGTACTGCTCGGGCGTACACATAGTGTTGATCCGAGAAACCACAAAACAAACGACAACAGCACCCAGACGCTAGAATTCTCTATTAGCTACAATCCCCTTCTCTCTACAACTTGTGTCGAACTGCTGCCGCCATCGGGACTCGAACCCGAGGACCTCCCAGTCAGAGGCAAGGCAGTGATATAAGCTTCCTTCAGGCAGAGCGAACACGTATAGGTCGAACCACTCCTGGCGCCTTCATAATAGGAGAAAAGAGACCAAGATTTTTTGTAGGCTCGGGGGGAAACGACTCCGTCCTTAAACTTGAGCAGACGAACTTCCACTGGAGGATCCAACCAATGATACAGCCTTGAGTAAACTTCAACGGCCCGGCGGAAGCAGGGATTTCTTAAAACCGTAATTTCCTTCGCACGCGCATTGCAATTCTTCTTTTAACCTCCCGGGCTTTCACCAGTAGAGCCCCTCCCCCGACCCAAAGCAGCTTCCAGGGCGGAAGTCGCCGACCGCCTACAATTAGGCGCCTCGCGGCCTCCACCACGCTTCCGGCTGAGGGAAGGCAGCGGGGCGGTGCGCGAGGAGAGCGCAAAGGCGAGGGCGGAGGCGAGGGCGGAGGCGAGGGCGGAGGCGAGGGCGGAGGCGAGGGCGGAGGCGAGGGCGAGGGCGAGGGCGGAGGCGAGGGCGAGGGCGAGGGCGGAGGCGAGGGCGGAGGCGAGGGCGGAGACAAGAGATGGGGCGAAGGCTGGGGCAAGTGCGACACAAATAAACATTGCTTTTAAATAATCTATTTGAAGGAATCGTTTTCCAAAACTGCAGTATTCTATATTCAAAAATATCCAAAAGATTCATTCTTGATAGTGCTGAAGTATTCTACCTGAAATATATGATGTAGAGCGTGAAAAGCGGAACACACACACTTATACGCTTCTATTAAGATAATGAGCGCACTCATTCTCTGAAAATGCCTTTCTGGTGGTAATAATTTTTCAACCAACCCGAAAGGTGAAATGGTGCCTTTTAGACACCTTTTAATTATGACTCAACTGTATCACGCGGTACACTTAACTAGATCGCATTGCGTACAAGAATGGTTCTAAATCGTTCTCTTTAATTAGGTTGGGTGTTTTAATTACCTACCAGAAGTGCAAGGCTCCCCACCCAAATCTATTACTGCTACATTCCCATCATCTTTTCTCAATTTCTTTGTCCTACCACGTGAAATGCCAATGAATTAATATCATACGCGTTGGGACCATATATACTCCTCATACCACTAATTAAGAAAAATCCTTCTCAACTTCTTCTAACACATAATATAAGCGCGTTTATATCACAACACAAAAATTCGAACTGAAAAGAAATCATATGATAATTTACCCAAATAATCTCTAAGTGATTTCGTAGACATTTGTAGCTAATTAGGAGGCATAAAACTTTGAAGTATGAAAAATTGTAACGAAAGAAGCCATCATGTGTATTGAAAGGTTTTATAAAGAAGAAATATAATGTATTCAAGAAAGAAAGAAAGAAAATTAGGGATGACAATATCTTGAGGCAAGATTCAATATACGACGTATGTATAATTCTCTGTGCTAAAATGTTTGAGGTACTATAATGCGGAACGAATGCAAATGCTACGGAAACAGCCCCCTGCATCTGCCACCTTCCACTCCCGAGCCGCGAGTCTGCTTGCTCAACGCACTGTCCGCCCCCAAAGCGTCGCCCGTTTGTTTACGCGGCGCGTGGCTCTCAGTGGGGAGCTTCCACGGCGCGGGCGGCGACTGACGGCTCGCAGAGTGGCGCGGCGGGCTGGTTTCGTAAGCACTCACGTTGGCGGAGGTGATCTTAGGAGAAGAGGCAACGATGAATTCTGTGACTGAAAGAGAGGCGGAGGCGGGGAATCGGAGAGGAGAGTCGGACGCGGGGAATCGGAGAGGTGAATCGGAGAGGTGAATCGGAGAGGTGAATCGGAGAGGTGAATCGGAGAGGTGAA